AATCTTTAGAGGTGGATCATTTGATTCGACAAAGACTTTTGATCAAATTCAGGTTCAAGCCTTCCTTTGGGTCAAAAACAAAGGAAAGGAAGGACAATTTTGTTTTTCTGATTGGATTCTCAACCCCAGATGTTGCAAGATTTTGTAATGAACTTCCTAATGCTGTACTTTCATTTCAACTGGTGTTGATTAATGTATAAGGGATCGAGTACCCCTTGTACTCACTAAATAAAAATAAAAAAAAAAAAATCTTTGCCTTTCAAAAAAAAAAAAAAAGCTTAGCTTAACACATCAGTTTTAAACGTCATCTTAAATTAAAAGATTTAACTTATTAAGCATTCAAGTCTTTATATCTTTGTCATGAGATATTAACACATGCCAACCCAACAAACAAAATACGTATTTCTTTTCTTTAGTTGTTAGTAAACACTATAACCAATAAACTCAAATTAAGATTACCCTTTTAGGCTAAAAAGGAACACTAAAAAGGGGGGTTTGTATCTCATAAATTAACATAACTAAGAAGTATTACTTGAGAAGAAAGAAGAAAATTCAACCCAAGAAAATTTCTGAAGTAGCAAAATCAGTCCACCTATGCGAGCTGGCTACAACGTGACAATTGAATCCATTTTTATTTCAGCCGTGCAAGACCAAACATGACTGCCGGTATCAACCTGCTTACTTGCTGGAAACTGGGAGTCGGTCAACTAATTCAAACTTCTTCGATTAGTTCAATCGAATTAAATGTAAAATTATGACAATGCCCCATCCCCCAGGGCAATTCGTTTGTGTAAAATTTTCAAAGCTCTAGAAAATTTTACCACCACATATATAATTTAATCGCTTCTTGATTTCAATTACGGACCCGAATACTTTAGGTTTCCGAGACATGAAATTCCCTAGGTTTCTAATTCTGTTTTCATAAGACTGAAGTAAAAATTGTCATGCTAAGACTGCTAGCTGTTGAAAAAAGAAGAAGAAGAAGAAGAGAGATAACAGTTGAATTTTCTTCTTTCTTCTCATGCAACTAATTAAGTCTGTTTAGTCAAGGCTTGTATGGTTAGTTGGCGCCTAAGAATTCTAGAAGAGTTTGAACAAGTCAATATGTAGATGCCTAGTACTCTTTATAACATGGACATGATCCTCCATTTTCACCCAACTAGAAACTCCACAATCTGCGGGGCGTCCCATATTGAGTAGATTGTTAACTAAGCTCTTGACGAAATGGCCTTAACCAAGTCCTCAAAACTCATGTTCATGGTGGTTTTCATCGCGGCCGTGTTCCTCCTATCTTCTCAGCTAGCTTTCACTGCTCCTCACGATTTCATTGTCAACCCTATGCTAGGTATTTATAAGAGAATCATTCAATTACTTTTCTCATTAGTTAAGCTGACAATTTAAATAT